TGCCACCTGCTTCGCAAGTGCAAGGACCCGAGTTCGATTCCCAGTACCAAAAAACAAAACAAAACAAAACAAACAAACAAACAAAATTACTTAGGAATGATATAGTTTTCATTTTAACAATATTAGCTGATTTATCATTAAGAATTTACAGAAACAGCCTAATGAGCAGTCCCTAAAAGAAGTATTTTATTAAAAGCTGTAAATAGATATTTTTTCCTCTCTAGCTCATCTCACATACATATCAGAGTATTTTTTTAAAAAAAACTAATCATGTCCCTTCTCATACTGATACCCTGGGCAACTCTATTTTACTTATAGATTAAAATGTGAATTCCTTGGTATGGCACAAGTCTGACCTCAAACTACCTTTGCAGATCAAGTTGTCCCTAAACATCCTGTATTCTATCATTTCCGGCTACCCCAAAGCTCAAATCGCTCCTCAGTCATGTCAGGTTCTCTTCTAAGTGTTGTTAAGGAAAAAAATTATTCAATGATACTTGTTAAAGCATGGAAAGGAAGACTGTATTCAGGGTAATTAAAGTAGGTACAGGAATCACTGTAGTAAGATCAGGTTGAAGGCCAACCATGGCATGGGCAAGTGGAAAGTAGGGAAGTGCAGGGAGAGAAACCAAGGGTAGTAAACGGGGGGTTGACATTGGGGTAAAAAATGTTCAAAGTATGTTATGCGCATGTATAAAAAATGAAACTCTTTAATCTGTATACTATATGTGTACAATATGTACTAACGAAAAAGATGTGAAACTAAACTCCTGAGAGAAGATCATCTTTTTTTATTAGCAAATAAAAACTCGTTTTTTGTTTTTTTTTTTAAAGAATGGCTCTTAATTTTCCCTAAATTACTGAGATTGCTGAGATCACATAGACTTGGTCCGTGGTAAGGGAAATAGAGGTAAAGAAAGGGTTTTGGAGGCAGGGAATCCAAGTTCTCTTTGCATATGCAGTTTGAGAAACTTCTTAGCTATTCATCTTTTATTCCTGTGACACTTTTATTTCAGAATTTATCACACTGACTTAATTTGCTAAATATTTATCTATCTCCCCAACCTGTCCATAAGCTTCTTCAAGGCAGATAGTAGTACTTACTCCATATCCTTAGGGAGGGCCTTAAACAAAATAGTCACTTAAAATGGTTTTAGAATGAATGGGCAATATTGTAGAAACTGAGAAATACAAACCAACAGAGGAAAAAATGTTTACTTTTTCAGTAATCCCAATTGCCTAGACCAGTGCTGGCAAACCTGTGGCATACATGTTGTGGTGGGCATGCAGAGCCCTCTCTGTTGGCATGAGAGCCAAGCCAGGCCAGCATCAACCCAGCAGTCGAGCACTCAAGTTTAATTGCAGTGTTGGCACTCTGTGATAAGTGGGTTTGGGGTTGCAGTTTGGGCAGTCAGTCTCTAAAAGGTTCACCATCACTGGCCAAAGACTTTCCTGGACTAAAGAAGGTCAACAAAGTTATGACAGAATATAAAATCAATTCAGAGCCTGGTTTTCCAGTATGGAATCCTACTTGTACATTATATATATAAAAATAACCCTTGCTCTAGACTCAAACTTTCCAGTATGTGTTGGTAAGCTGTTCTTGCTAGCTCTGTGAACAGCTTTTTCTTATACTGTACAGAGACAATGTATATCTTCAGATAGGTTTTCAGTACGATTTTTATACTTGAACACTCTATCTACATTATTTGTTTTTGCAGGGCTACATTTCAGACTAATAGATTTGTATGATCAAGAACACTTACCCACTTTTAAAGCTGATTTGAATACTGAATAAAATCACAGAATTTTAAAGACAGAAATCAAATCCAGAGTCCTCATTTAGCTGTAGGGATAAGAAAACTGAAGCCTGAAGAAACTGCTCAAGATTCTATAGTCATTTAGAAATGGGAATAGGTCTAGACACTAGTCATCTGCTTACTAGTATAGGATTTCTACAAAGACTGGCTTTTTTTTTTTGGTACCTGGAATCGAACTTGGGACCTTGCACTTGCGAGGCAGGTGGCAGAACCACTGAGCTAAATCCCGGGCCCTAAGACTGGCTTTTTAATGAATAAAATAGACTATCTGCCATTTTTCAATCAGCCATATCTTCTAATTTAAAAATTTTTCTATACAGTGATACTTCAATAAACTTTCTATGAAGGACATGCCTTAGAAGAAGGCCAGCAATACTAGTAACCAAAACAAAATCAAATGAAGCTGTGTTGGCATGTATGAGATGGCTAGGATATCATGTATGTGGATGGACACTCATGACCTGGATGGCCATGGAAACTGAAGGGAGATGTAATTGTAACTATGTGTGCCTGTGAAGTTTGCAAGGCTTGCCTTTATCATATCCAGCTGTTTAATCTTCATCTTTACTCTTGCTATTTCAGTAGTAATCCCTTTTCCCATTTCAAAGCCTTCCTTTCTGCTCTTCCCCTTCATAGAAAATGAAAGCATTTTCTACTTAATTGTCTATACCTTTTGATAGGCAAACATAAGACACTATAAATCAACTTTATAAAAATAAATATATTAACCCAATTAGACATTTATCTTCTATCACTTTAATCCTGAAATGCAGAATGAAAGGTTTGTCTGAGAAAAATTTTGACCTCAGCAGAAAGATGGTGGGAATTGAGTGATGGGGAGAAGTTTCCTCTCTTCTAGTCACTGAAAGTACAAAGTCTAAAAAGGCAAACCAAATATCTATTTAAGGGGCAAAGAGTAAGAGTCTAAGGGGTGGTACACAGAACACCCTACATTTTAAATAAAAATTATTAACACTATGCTTCAGTAGATATCTGGAACATGAAAAATTAAAAGTTTCTAAGGTTTGAGATAATTATTTGTTATAGCAATTTGAAATTATAACTCAAAGTATTTCAAACCTAGCTTACACATATTCACCATGCTTACAATCTAAATATGTTACATTCACATAATACCGTGCTTACTGTTTTATAGACATTATGTAATTAGAACTTCAACAATGTATATTTACAAATATCATTTCCAGTCTTCATATGAAGAGTCTAAGGTTCACAGACATAAATAGCACAGCTAGAACTACTGTAGGAGTTCTGCATGCAAATATTTTCTCATTATAATATGAAACTTAAATAGTAATTAAAATAGTTTGCATATGTAAATTTCAAATACTTCACCAGTTAAAAGAGTGATACTGTTCCTAAATTTCTAAGTAAATTATGTTGATCTTTTCAAACTCAAATTTCTTATTATAATCTCTTTGTCAAAGATATTTGTTTATTTTATGCTCTCTCACCTTTTTTTTTTTTTTTTCTTCTCTTTCCTCATCTCAAATACCATTCTCATGCTGAAGTCTCTGAAATTTTCATCTCCAGCCTCACTTTTTTTTTTTTTTGGCACCAGGGATCATACTCAGGTCCTTGCACTTGCAAGGCAGGCGCCGGAACCACTGAGCTAAATCCCTGGCCCCTCTCTCACCTTTCTTAAAGAATTCAATAATAGCAAAAATACTGTCAAAATATGTAGCCATTAAACAAAAATATTATCTTTCACTACACAAATAAACATTTCTCACTTACTTTTTCTTTGATAGCCTTTGAAAACATTATTCAAATTAACTTAAAACTAGCCTCCTAAAATTTACAATTGGATAGTCCAACTCAGTAATTCACAATTGTGTAACTGGCTTTTTCATATATTTTATTAATATGCCAACATTGAAGGGATGTGCTATTTACTACTGAAAGTTGCATCCAAAATGCATTTAACTGTGGCATTCTTAAAAATGAAAAAAAAGGACTATCCATAAACTATGATTCCTTTATCCAGTTGGGAAACAAATTTAACATTATTCATGTTTAGAACTCACATATTTTTTGACTTTTAAATTATCTGTTTAATAGAGCACAGATTCAGAGTTATCTACTGCTAAGTGACCAAATCTAAATTTATTGTTTACTTTTGCAATAACTTTTGTGATTTCAAGGGAAAAAAATAAGATGATTGCATTCATCTAGTGTAAAAACTGGCAATTAGAATGCTATGAATTTTTATTTCTCAAAAGAAATAACTGTATTCATTAAAAAAAGAAGCATCTGAACACTTAAAAGAATAGTTAAAGCAAGAAAGGGGCTCACCGGTCTGAGTGAAACCAAACTGATGCAGCATCTCATCAGCGGTCAGCATGTTTGACTGTTGTAACTTAGACTGTTGTGAGGAGGCTGGAGGTGGTGAAGTAAGCGTGAGATTTTTGTTGACCTGCAATAAAAAAGGCAAATCAGAAAATGCAGTGTAATTTCCTGGGCTACTGATGCAAAATCTGGATGAGAAATGTTTGCTTACTACCTAAATCAGGACACACGGTAGGTCAAAAGGAGTGGTTCATGATTTATTTGGCTGTGTTTTATAGTTTAGAAAATAGAATTTTTTTCTTATCAAAGAAGGAATACAGTGATAATGAAAGCTAAAGTATGTGACAATAAATTAACCTTTTAAAGTTTGTTTATCATGGAATTGACAGTAATAATTTAAAATACAGTCGTCCTAAGTCCTGCAAAAAAATTCAAATAATAAGAGTGATCCCTTGACTGCTTTTAATTAACGAGGAATTAAAATGTTCTCTAGTATTTTAGTGAAGAAGCATTTTAGAGACTGCACAGAAAACACCTGCACTACTATGTTTACATAAATCATGGTGACACAGATAATACAGGTGTAACCTCACCTGCCATGTGAAATAGCTTCCACTGTGTTAAAAACCTTATTCTTTTTTTTTCTTTTTTGGTGCCTGGGATCAAACTGGGGACCTTCTGCTTGCAAGGCAGGTGGCGGCACCACTGAGCTAAATCCCCAGCCCCAAAAAACTAAGACTGTTTAAAAACAGCATGACTGTAAAAAAATGATAGAGCAGAATTTTTGTAAGTAAATATAATGCTGTATAACACATAAAACCTACTATGATTGCCTGAGTATGATGGTCTCACAAAAATGAAATGCGTAACAAGTACATAAAAGAATTCACTAAAAAGTCTGAAATGTTATTAAGTTCTTGAAAGTTAGAGTTAATTTCAGAAAAAAATCTATTCTGTTCATTATTAATAAAACATTCATTCTTAATTTTAAAAATTGTAAAATGTGATCCTTTTTGAAAACTTAAAACAGCCTAATTTTTGAAATTCACTGCAAATATGTAATCTGTGAATTAACAGAATGAAATAATTTATGGTATATAAATTAGTACATAAAAATAACTTTTCCTGCCAGGCATGGTGGCACATGCCTGTAATCCCAGCACTCAGGCTGAGGCAGGAAGACTGTTGTGAGTTCAAGACCAATCTGGGCTACATAGTGAGTTCTAGACCAGCCTGAACTATATAATAAGAGCCTGTGTCAAAAAAAAAAAAAAAAAAAAAGGAAATAGCTCTTTTCCTTTTTATTTTTGTTTAAATAATCAAAATTGCATAGAGAACTTCCACTGGATTAGTATTTAAATTTTTGTTTGTTTATTTGTTTGTGTACCAGGGATTGAACTCAGGACCTTGCATTTGCGAGGCAGGCACATCCCAGCTGAGCTAAATCCCCAGCCCTCACTGCATTAGTGTTTAAAAACTCCTTATTGGTGTTCTATATAGAGCAGTACTTGGGTTGTGGCTAGATATCTGTTATCTGATTCATTATTTACATGTTTGTAAGTGCTCTTTTCTTTCAAACAGTAATAGGAAACAGTGTATCTTAGACTTCCTTTTTCTCTGGGAGCACGAATCTTTTAGCAGACTCAGAAGAAAAGTCAATTAAGACCATATACTTATATAGTTCTAGAGTACATAAACTGTTATGATATCATTTTATAAAACAATAGTTTTCAAAGTAGTAGGGGTTATATATCACATTAGTGTTAAAATATCATTCAGCATTAAAAATTCTCAGGATCTATTATTAAATGGTGAATAATATTAATGTTGATTATATTAATATAGCACTTAACAATAAAATCAATACCTCTGAGATTCACTACCCATCTTTACATGGAGATAATAAAAAAAATCTATGCTTTACAGGGAATGCGTAAATAAAGATGAACTAGCATTATGAAGTGCTTTTTACAATTTAACCTTCAAGCGCTAAATAGCATTTTAAGTAAGAAACAGATTAAACAGGGCTAGGGATATGGCTCAGTGTTAGTGCCCTTGCTTGCTGGGTTTGATTCCCAGCATTGGGGGTTCAGTTAGAGGAAGAGGGAAAGAGGGACAGAAAGAGGGAGAGGGAGGGGAGGATAAAAGGAGGGGAGAGAAGGAGGTGGCGGTGGGGTGGGGGGGGAGAGGAGTTAACAGATTATACAGGCAAAGGTAATCCATAAAGTCCTATACAAATAAGTGTTATATAAGTATTAGTCATTATTATTATTAACATCATCAGAAGGTAATTAGGCACAATGTATGATAATGATGATGCAGTAAATCTTTCCGACTTCTGTGCTTTTAAATGGACGTACTAGATACAAAAGGACATATTTATCACTTAACTATTTAATTCACTTAAAAAAAAGTTCTTAGTTTTACTTCTGTGTTCTGGAAGACTTTTTTTCCTATATGTCAGACAAAGTATTTTAAAATCTGGTGCAAATGAACAGGTATACGCTGGGGATATGAATCTATATATATGTATATGTATCTATCTATGGTTTTGGACCCCCCCCCCATGCCTTTTACAGTCTTTTCAGGAATGTACTTGTGCTAAGACATACAAAAATACCAGCACCACTAGAACAGGACACTTAAATGTCTCTGCTCAACCAGAAAGACTTGCCATTCTTATTAAATAAGGTGCTGTTTGGAAAAAGAATTATAGTTACATTTTCTTCTTAAGCATTTTTATAATTTTGTTCTTTCTTGACAACTTTAGAGATTATTCAAATGTTCATGAAGTGATGAGTAGCAATTTAACAGAGCAGACAACTCAATTTTCAAGGTTTGAGATAACTGTTAATTATCATTACTAGTATTGATTTCAAATTAGAATTTAAATCATTTTCAAAAGGAGCTTATATATATTTACCACTTCATTTAGAGCAATAAAAGTAATAATCACCATTAAAGAGAGTGAAGCAATATCTATTTTTGAAATAAATGCTGTGGAAAAGAATTGCTTAATAATTTTACAACAACAGAAAGGTTGGCTAAGATAGTCTACCCTATACCAATCTACCCTTTTTTTCACAACACATTTTTCTGCTTGCTTCATGCAAAAACCACAGTCTGCCAAAGTCAGTTTAATACCTCCATATTGGAGAAAACTAAAAGCATAAAACGCAAATGAAATTCATATTAGAGAAAAAGAAAAAAAATTACCTAGAGCTTCTGCCAAGTTAATCACAAAACTGTTTTGCCTACTCTTTTAGGGTATAAGCAGCTTTATGCAAAATATGCAAACATTAATTCTCTAGGAGTGGCTTAATTTTCATGTTAAAAACCTTACTGCCCCAAACACAAAATTGAATGCAAAAACTAAACAAGCTAATAATTAGTTTCTCTTTTAATAATTAGTTAAAATAAAAAACTTTGGGAGAGATAAAACACTCATTTTCATATATACTTAAAAGTCTAATTATTTTAGGTGACTCTTGGTTTTACTGAAAAGATGCTCATGCTGTTACTATTCCTAAAAGTTCACAAATTTATGTCTTTCCCCAGATGCTGGCAATTATTTCTACCAAATTTAAATAATAATGCAGATAATATTTTAATTTGAAAACAATTTTGGTGCCAAAAATAACTCAATAACACTCAAGCAATGTTTTGTTACAAATCATGTATCTGTTGTAAAAATTAAAATCCCAGGATTAAAGAGCAAGTTAAACAGAAAGTTTGAGCTAAAGTGAGACTGAAATTACCTAGGTACTTTTTACATTCTCATTATATAAATTCTGAGAGTAGTTTAATTGCCATGATTTTTAGGTTAGTAAAATCTAAATAGGTGATGGTATCTTAAGGAGAAATTCAAAGATGATCTGTAGGCTCTAAGATGCTTTTTTTTTTAAGCCAAGAAAAGTGAAGGAATCAGAAGGAACTGCTGAAGGGATTCTGTTTTTTTTTTTTTTTT